ACAAATGCATATTTATACACACACACAGATACAGTTCACAGAGACACACACTCATACTAATGCACTTACACATGCACGCAGATACCATTCATGCACAAACACAGAGACACACACATACACAAATGCACATTTACATACACACACAGATACAACTCACACAGACATACACTCATAGAAATACACTTACATACATATACTCACACACACAGATACTACTCACACAGAGAGACACAAACTTGCACACAGACACACTCATAGAATCAAACACTTACATGCACATACACATATACAGACACAACAAACACAAACATGCATGCTCACACAGGCACACACAAAAACACAAAACCAGACACAAACATAAATACCATAGAGACACACTCATACTACACAAAGCAGACACATGCTCATAAAGACACATGTACACAGACTCCCACACACAGATACCACTAACACACTGACACACACACACAGAAAACTACTCACAAGCACAGAAACACACACACAGGCACACACTAAGACATACTACACAACACACAGATACACACTTGTACACGGGCAAAGACATGTACACAAATTTACACACATTCATACAAATGCACACATATACATGCTCACACACACATTACTCACACAGACACACAAACTTAGACTCAGACACACTCAGACACTTATATGCACACACACACATGCAGACACAAGAGACACATATGCAGACACAAGAGACACATATGCAGACACAAGAGACACAAACATGCATGCTCACACAGGCACACACAAAGACACAGACACACACACACATACACACCCACAGAGATACACATAGACATACTACACAAAACACAGACACACACTCATATACATAAATACAAAGACACACATACACAGGCTCCCATACGTAGGTACTACTAACACACCAACACACAGATAACCACTCACAAACTCAGACACACACAAACTTATACAGGCACACAGACACACTACACAAAACAGACTCACACTCATACACACGCACACAAAGACACATGTACACACACACACACAAACACACACACCAGCAGTCTCAACAGGTGGAGCTCAGCCTCTTTCCCCAGCATCCACGCCCTGCCCTGTGTCGGGGCAGCCCTGGGCCAGCTCACCTGTCGCGGGTGTGGGCTCCTGGCAGGTGAAGCAGCACTGCCCAGGGCCCAGCCGCCACTCTTCTCGGGGGCAGGCCAGCTCAGGGCAGGGCATGAAGGAGCACTCCACCTCCCCATTCTGGAAGAGAGCCCAGGCACAGAATGATGAGGGCAGCGCCCCGCCTGGAGACCATGGAGAGCTAGAGGAGGCTGGCAGGCTGCCATCACCCTCCCACTACTCAAGTGAAACTGACAAAGAAATCTCCAGGGAGCACAACAGTGGGGTGGGGAGAACCCGCAGTCCTTCAATGGGGGCTGGGTGTGAGCCCAGGAGGGCATCCTGGGAATAGGCGCGGTGTCCACCATCTCTCAGCCTCCCGCTGCCATCCAGGCTCCCTACTGTCTTCCACTCTGGCCCCTCCAATCGTCTCTTGGTCCGCAGCCAGAGAACTTTCTCCAGCACAATCCGATCGCATCCCTCCACGCAGCTTGACTGAGTGCAAAGCCCTCAATGCAGCTGGTGGAGCCCTTCAGGACTGAGTCAGGGCAGAGGCTGTCAGTGCCCACCCAGGTCCTGTCTCTGAAGTGCTGCCAGTGGCTGGCGGCAGCTGCATCCTCCAGAGATGCCTGGATGGTCACTGCCCCCACTCCCTGGGGAACACAGAGTCTCTATAACTGACTGGCCCTGGGGTGCAAGAGCCTTGCTCCCCAGCGCGGTCCACTGTCCAGAGCTTCCCAGGGATCAGTGTGAAACCACACCTTCACCCTGCTTCCCTCGCTGGTTTCTCCTGAGAGCACTCCTTTGGTAAGTCGCCTGCACAGGCCCTGCTTCTAGGGAACACAACCCAAGATGCAACCCCTTCCTGCAGCCTTGCTGCCTGCCTGCCTCTCTCCGTGCTCCAGCCAGAATGGCCATCTCCAGTCCTCCACCCTCTGCTGGGTACAGCAACCTCAGCTCCCTGCCTGATGAGTCCCCGCCACCCTCTAGATCTCTACTTAACATCCCGCCTTCCAAAAAGGCATCAGGAGTCCTGGGCCCCTGGCCATCAACCCACCTAGGCTGTGGGCTTCTGGACCAAGGGGACTGGGACTTCCTTGTGCTCAGCTGTGTCCCCAGCACATAGTAGGTGCTCTGTAAATAGCAGTGCTGAAAGATGAAGTTCAAAGAGACTGTGGGAAGGCCTGGGGGATCCCTGTAGTGCCTTTGTTTCCTCAGTTTCCCTGTTGCTGTATGGCAGCTCATGTTCTCCTAGTCAAGTCAACCTGAGTAAAGCGCTGTGCCTCGCTCCCCTCCCCATCAATTCCACAGGCTTCGGGACGCTCCACCACCATACCTGGCAGACACAGGTGGTACACTCGTCACCACCCCCACTGAACACGGCCCCGTCCGCGTACCACCGGCCGTGGAAATAGCATCTCACTGCAGAGGAGAAAGGGAGCAGCTCAAGGTCTTTGGGCAGAGGCAGCTAAAGAAAAGGGGGAACAAATGGGTGGGGAGCCCTGGGGCATTTAACACCCACCCATGACACTCCACAGCATGCTCCAAGCATGCTCCATGCCCAGGAACCCAAAGCACTTCTCCCCCTCCAAACCCCAGACACAAAACAAGGGCTGGGTGTGGCAGTTCACGCCTGTAATCCCAACATTCTGGGAGGCCGAGGTGGGAGGATCTCTTGCACCCAGGAGTTCGAGGCCAGTCTGCGAGACCCCATCTCTACAAAAACTTTTAAAAATTAGCTGAGTGCAGCAGTGTGTGCCTGTAGTCCTTGCTAATCAGGAGGCTGAGGCAGGAGGATGGCTTGAAACCAGGGGTTGAGGTTATAGTGATTGCATCACTCTACTGCAGCCTGGGCGACAGAGCAAGACCCCATCTCAACAACAACAAAAAATCTGACGAAGGATGAATCACATGTAAGACGAGGTCCTTAACTAAAAAAGGCAGGGGAAGCCCTAAATAACTAAAGAATAACAGAAAAAATGAAAGAAAAAGAGACTGTCCCAGACACCTAAGACAAAGGTGCCACGTTAGACAAATGTTGCTACCACCCCCCTGGAGGCTATGAGAATCTGGGGAGAGCCTTTGATTCGAAGATCCACTCCAGTGAAAAAACAGCCTTAGAAACTGCCCAGGGTCACCTGCTGTTAGAATGCCCTGGGCTCAAATCCTAGCTACACAACTCACCAGGGAATGACTTTGGGCAAGACACTTAAAGCTCTCTAAGCCTCAGTTTTCTCATCTGTACAATGGGACTGATAAGGGTTCCTATCTCATCCAGACTACATTGACTATGCAAAAATAAGTCAATTAAAAATAACATTTAAATATTAAGAAAAAAATACTGGCCAGGCAC